ATACATTTTTGCTGATTTCTGTGAGCCCGAAATTCCAAGCTCTAGAGAGCACAAAAACAAAATACCAAGTGACCCAAGTCGATTTTATAAACTCAGTTTTACAAACTGGCTTGCCGAGGTGTTATCCATGGGATCCGTCGCCAATACCGCTAGGCCATTGGGAGGTTCGGTATTTCCAGCTGTGGGAATTTAATAAGCCAAATCTTTGCAGCAGTTTCATAATACTAGGCTCGATTAAACAAGTACTAAACACATGGAAAGATTCTTGCAAAGTTAAGCACGATTGCTCCATTAGGTAACTATTAGGATAATTATTGTGTTCAGCCTGAAGCTAGCTATATAGCAATCACAAATCGAGATAAGATTGACTGTATATAAGTAATCATCTGAGGAAGGTATGAGTCCCGTTTATATAAATAACACCTACTAAGATGAAGTTTCCCAAGACACAATATCATTTTTGTCCTATATGCATTACCGTGGCCGGCACCTCAAAGAACAGAAGAACTTCCCCCTGGTATACCGAACATCATCGAACCTACATATGTTTGTGGCCACGATTTCAGACTCGCTCCGCGGGCACTACGGCTATATATAAAAGTTGGCCCCGTTTCGCAGGCCTATGCCATAACCGATAAGTACAATTCTACATGTAATTAAAACCTAGACCAGCAGATCAGAGGACTGGCCTGCGCATAGGAAATATCAGTAAAAAGGGCTACAGCAAGTAAACGACTCAAACCAGAACCTGATCTGCACGTGCACACGGTTTACTTCAACGCTGAGTACTTTATATGCACGTTCAATCCAGGCCTTTTTAACAGGTCCAGCGGTCAGTATCAGAATATATATACATTTTCCGAGACCCCAGAGGGCTAGAATAGGACTCCAAACGCACGTGTCATATTCAAGGGCTCGATATATAACGGTGACTGCCATTTTAACGTAACAGGAACCCATCGAACAGCGATATTAGTTGAAGAAATCTTTTGTTTCAGTGCCGTTTTTTCTAAGTATAAGGTGTGCAGCACTGCTTTAGCCAAATTCGGGGTTAAGTGATAGCCCGTTGAAACATCGCCAAAGCGCGTTGAGTTGGGTTGAGTTGAGGGTTTTGGCGCCTCTATATAGGTAAGGCGCAATTGCAAAATCTCAAAAGGTTCAACCCACTCCAAAAAGCTCAACCAGCTTTTTGACAGTTGTGATTTCCGAGTCGAGTTGAGATTTGACAAAGAAGGCAAAGTTTTCACCAGAGCGAGGATAGTGCAATGCGGGAACAGGGGATAAGAAACTAAAGCAGTACCCGAGCGGGCCGAGCCTATTCTATAAACCTCAACTAGCCATGGTTGAGCTTTTGAAAGGGTACTCAAAGTATCAACACAACCAACCGGTGGGTTTTCCGATTGGCCGGAAAACCTGTAAAAATGAAGCTAAAAATCTCAACTCAACTCGCCTCAACTGCACTTTGATCTAAGGGCCCGTTTGGCAACGGGGTCGACTTGTCGGATTTTGGTGAAAGGCGACTTATTCGCGTATTCTGGACTCCCTAAAAAGTTTTGGCTGTTTGGCAACACATTTTGTCCAGTAGATTTGTCACCCAAAGTTAACAAATCGACTGAAATAAAAAAGCAGCTCCGAGCCTGCTTTTTGTTTCCGTTGCAACGATATCACCTCCAACCCAACCACATTCGGCCAACTTAATTTAAACTACCAAACAGCAGGCAACTAACTTTTCTAGAGAGCAACTTATCCTCTCCACATAAGTGACCCTTTGGATAAGTCCGTTGCAACGACTTAAACTACCAAACGGGCCCTAAGCTTGGGAAATTTATCCGTCATTAGAGGATCCGTTAATCCAAAGATTAATTTTAAAAATCATATATAAATCAATGTACAAGAATTCCGGGATAATATGACTTTTGAGCCCTTTTTGTCTCACTAAAAAGTTTAAAGAGCGCTCTCGGTTTCTTTAGATCTTCCAATAGCTTTCCTCTTGAACACCACCCTCTTTCCCCAAACTCAAGTTCTAATAGAGAGTTTTAGCTGCACCAGTTGAACAGAAAGTCGGACGGATTGGACAAATATCCTAGCTGTTTTGGGTAAAGACTTGCAAGAATCCAGCCAATAAGAGGTGCAGGATTTTTTGTCCAAGTGCTCGACTTTCTATCCAACTCGCGCAGCTAAAACTCTCTAATGATGCACATAAGACAAAACGAGACTAATTTGAACCTCTATCTCTATATCTTGTCTCGCTATATCGCAGCCTTGATAGTCTCGTGGATGAATAGGAATAGGTGGCCAGAAGAACAACGGATCCAAAGAGACTTGGTGGGAGTAATCTCAAGTGAGGGCGAATACCGCCAAAACTTGAAAAATTGGCTATCGTCGTTCAGGGATCACCCCTTGAGTGATTGTTTGAATCACATCGATCCACATTAAAAGTTTCCCATACAAGTAATTTTGATCTAGCCAATTTTCCGAGTTATGGTGGTAGTTTTATCCTCATGACTCCCATGACTCGTATCGGTGTTGGAGATAATAAGATAGAGCTAAAGGCGGAACTAGACCCCCTTAAGAGATAATTGAAATTACAAGTCTGCGGCGCAGCTCTCGCTAGTGCTCACAGATCCCTCCTAGTTCGAATAATAATGTGTCGTTAATAAGAACTTCTTGTCTATCAAGCTTTATATTGATGATCGCTCTCACCTGTTCCAGATGTTAGCACGCACGCTGACAGTCAAGCTCAAGTCTCCGCAAAAATGCTCGCTACCACCGCTACCACGCGAGTGCAGCACGATGTAATGGGCAATATTATACCACTTTCAGCCGCAAAGGTGCAGTTTAATGCACAAAACAGCCTCTTATGAGATGACATGTCTCGGCTGGATACAATTGCACTTCTAGGATGGAACCGTAGGGCTTCGGAAGGCCGAGGCTGAAGAAGATTGCGCCCTGTGCAACATATGTATCTCCCGTACCACATACCGTTGCTGTTGAGTGTTGGCTTTAACAGCCTACATATGTAACGCCCCCGCCCTCCATCTCTCGTCCTCAGTCTTTACATGTAGTTCTTCAGTGACGTGTCGATCTTTCATGTAATCAAAGGGCCTGATGACAGCCAGAATTACGAGAAGATGTCTAAATATATTAGCCAGTGATGTTTTAAACGTTGATCACAACGGGTTTTACAGATGCTGGTAGAGACACCACACGAGAGTACAGCTGGGGAACCCTATATCCAGTGCACTTTTTGCCCTTACTTCTAGCGCCAACTCCTCGACCACCACAACCCCTAAATTATTTTTCTTCCTATAGAATAGTTCTTCTGCTTGTTCTCTACAGTTCTGTAGAGAGATAATTAATTTAGGTGTTGTGGTTGAGGTGTAGTTTGTCTTTAAAGTTGGTATACTTTTAGTGGGGAGCCCACTCAATGTCGTCTCTATTTATTGCCTAATTGGGTAATTCTCTCTCCCAGGAGCGTGTATTATTACCCGATTAGGATTAGTAAAGCTATTATAGAGCTAATCTAAGATATCTTGGCATTGGCTTTCTTATTTTAATTTCTAAAAGCAGTAATTAATTGTATTAGTAATTACCAAACTAAATATCGCGGACACCCCGGTATAGGCTTCCCCAGCTATCCCTTGGACGTGTGAGACATTTGGAGAATCTCTCTCATGCATTAGCGTGCCCTACCTAGGAAACGATTTACTATAATAAAGCAGCAACTTGCGAAGTTTTTGGCATCTCTGAGTATTCCGAAGACCGATAAATGCAGCAAACTGCTTACCCGGACGTTTTCTCAGCCAAATTCTAGATCACATGACTGCCAATTCCCGCTAATGCATGAGAGAGATTCTCCAAATGTCTCACGCGTCCAAGGGATAGGTAGTGTCTATGCCCATACCCACTTTTTCCATATCTATCAATACTGATTGGTCAAGCCTTACTCTCAAGGCCGGAACCCGTGATACCCCGACCCAGAAACTCTAACAACGGGCGCACTCCAGTGGTTTCTGTCCAACCGATTCAGCCCCTTTCTCTGCCTTGAGGCTCTGTGTAATATTCGTGTAACACAAGGGATCTGCGGTTAAGCTTAAACTGTCTGTCCAGTTGTTCCACTTTAGGTAATATTAGTCGAGGCTTTTCTATTGACAGGGAAAAATACGAAAGGCTCGAGTTCCTTGACTCATCAGGGGAACTAGCTTTCATAGGGTCTTGAGGTAAACGATAGCTATACTTCTGCAAATATCTTCGCACTATCGAAGGAAATAAAGCCCAGCAGAGTTTCAAAACCAAGTGACTGATATGTGGCGTGAGGAGTTGAACAAAAAAAAAACTCCATATTGACGGCCATGCCGATAGATCCTAATGTGCGTGTAACCCTGTGTATTTCCTTACACACATCATGTAGGAATAGGCACTTGTCATTAAAACTTCTCAGTGGCTGGATCCTTGGATGAATGCATAGTTGATGTGTAGGAATACAGCCGGTGTCACCGCCGAAGCTGCAGAGTTACCTAGCCAAGAATTATGGATGTTGTACAAAGGATTAATTGCAATTAACACGATACGAGGGCCGGCCTTGGCATTAACTAGCGATTTATGTTGGTAATTGACTTCTTTCTTTGCTTTTGGCAGGACGGAGTTGAGTTGGGGGTGTGGGGTTGATCTGAATTCAGTATGTCAGTTGCAGTCAGTATATATATCATCCCCCCTCTCCATTCCATCTTTTAGACCATTGTGCAGTCATCCGTCTCCTGGCCACATACGTACTTTCAATCATGAAATATCACGTCCCCATTATCGCCTTCCTTTCTCTCGCAACCTCAGTATGCGCAGAAGAATCCTCCGATCTCGGTATATCCCCCGTCCCCAAACAGGTCCTCCCAATGGGCTCCATGGAGCCCCCAGGTCTTTCTGGGGGTAAATTCACCCCCTTTGCCGACCGAGTTCCCGCTGCCGCAATGCACAAACGACAAACTACATGTGCCACGTCCGGTTCATACATGTGCGCCAACAGTAACACCTGTTGCTACGTTGGCTATGACTGCGAGTCGGATGGTGTGCAGAATTGGTGTTGTCCTATTGGCGAGCTCTGCTCGGGATCAGCGTCATGTCCTGCTGATCATACTGATTGTGGGCCCATTACCGGTGGGGACGGATGCTGCCCTACTGCTACCTCGATTTGCTACTACCAGAGTAGCACGAACCGATATGGATGTTTAGAGAATGGCGGCAGCGGTGGCAGCGGTGGCAGCAGTGGCGGTGGCAGCGGTGGCAGCAGTGGTAGTGGAACGTGCTCGAGGTCGGGGTACTTTCCTTGTTCAGATGGGTCTGGGTGCTGTCCGAACGGGACTACATGTGTGTCGGGCAAGGACTACTGCCAGAAAGATTGTGAACGTGGGGAGACGGAGTGTGTCGGTGGGTGCTGCCCATCAGGATACTCATGCGACGCTGTACGGGAGAGCTGCATCAGAAATAGTGGAGGTGGAGGTGAAAGCACTGCGCGGGAATCTACATCTAGTAGAGCGAGGCGTACATCATCGACGACCCCAATCCCGACACCGACCGGGACAAGCGATTTTGACTTCTCAGAGGAGACTCCATCTTCTACTGATGAGGGGTCAACTACTTCCACGAGGGCATCAAACACACGGTCGACGGTGCCTACGAACACAGTGGCTCAAGTAATTTCTGGGAACGGTGGGTCTGGCGTAAGAGTCCCGGTGGTGTTTGGATTGATGATTATTGGGTTGTTTGCGGTCGTGCGTTTATAAAGCGGGGTTTCTGCGTGACCTCACGGGCCATGTTAATAGTTGGTAAATGTCTAGTATTTATTATGTTGAGATTGGGATACGAATCTTAATAAATGTAATTTGATGTATGGATGAATGTATGTGAAAGGTTCCGTGGTGGGCTTTGCGACCAGATTGTTGATTTCCTCCCAAGATAAACCGCTAGCAATAACACACAGAGCGAGATCCCGTATGAGGGCTCTCAAAGCAAACGCAGATTATTACCGACTGTATAACGATCATTGACCGCTGGGCGAGCGCTAACTGGTTGTGTTGTGTTTCACATGAGTCGTGGTAGCAACACGTCTTCCCGTAACTCTGCAATTCAGGCATCCATCATCCCACCATCCACCCCCCACTACTACTCCACCCCACTACAGCTCCCTCTTTCTTCCTCTTCACAAAAATCTTCCTCTTCACAAAAAGCTTCCTCATCACCATCAATAGGCCCTTGCCGATTTCACCAACTGGCAGATAGCTCGCCTAATCCCAAAGTAATCCTAAATATCTTTTCTGCGCATTGTCTTTTTACAATTCATTAATTGAGACTGACATTTTAGCTCTTACACCAGGAACCCCAGACATGGGCGGTAGAGGTATACCATCTGCGCCCGGAGGTGCGAAACGGAACGCTTTTGACAAGAAACCGGGAGCGGCTGCTGGCGCGAACAGGTTTGTTTTCATCAAATTTTATTTTCGCTGTTTTTTCTGGTTCACTATTTAAGAGCCATAGACACAGTTGCTAATTCATACACCTGATAGGGATGGCGGGGCACCTTCGCAGATTAGATGTGCGGTCTGTAAAAAAACGAAGAGCAGGGAGGAGTTCTCCAACCGCCAGCTCCTCAAGTTCACTTCGTACAATAAGGGCAGTCGAACAAGTAAGTACAAGCCATCGGGCACCATAGCTCAACTATAATTGCTTCAAACTGGACTTTGGTGCTGATTCCAGCCAGCCAAGAAAGATGTGGATTCAGTGCATGTCACTTGTACCCTGTGCACCGCGGGCCAAACCGTTGAGCTCAAATGCTATGTTTGCGACAAAGTGAAGGGTTTGCATGAGTTCGCCAAAAACCAGCGAAAGGACCCAGATAACGCCAGGTGCATCAAGTGTGTCGACTCTGACATTACGGCCGAGCCCGACCTTCATGCTGATCATCCTAATGTTCCCGTTGATTCAAGCAGCGAAGATGAGGAAGAAGAAGAGCACAATGTATGTGTTGAAATCTACGTCTTGTACTTTGGATGGTTGGTTTTCTTTGCTAACAATTTCTTAGTGGGATGCTCCAGCAAGGTCGACTGCCAACCAGATCAGGCCTTATAGACCTCAGAATAAGAAGACTGATTGGGCATCAACTACCGGTGAGGACGATGACGATGAATATGACGATGTCTCATCTTCTGCTACATCCCAATATAGTGGCCCTCCCAGACAGCAGGGATTCAACCTTCCAGCACGTCCTGGCACCGCACAGCGTGCTCCGGCTGTGTTTAATTATCGTGCTAACCAGCCCTCTAACTCCTACGCTGGCCGTGCTCCTCCTGTCGAAGACGACGACGATGAATGGGAAACTATGTCAAAAACGAAGTCCATTGGTGGCTCGAGTAGAGCCTCATCTACTGCCTCGCCCTCCGGTTATTCATCACAGCTGCCAGCAACTAGGAAGGGCGGGTGGGCAAAGGTTGCTAAGGGTGTGCCGGAGGGAGATGACCCGTGGGCCAATTATGGCAAAAAGTAGAGGATGTTGCACGATTGAAGCCTCTAACATTGCTCCAAGTTTCGTCATGTACCCCGTCTTTCTTGACACAATTTTTTCTCTGTATCCCGTATCTTCTATCTTGTATCATTTCCCTTCCACAGCGCGTCATCTCTTCCCCTGATCATTACATGCAATACCCCCAATAACCGATCATTTTCTCTTTGGATTCAAATACAGGGGACGTTTCTCTTACCTTCTTTCTCTTTTCTGGAGTGCCAAATTTTCAAGTCTGTTGATAGACGTACAGAGTCTAGTTAAACCTTTTTGTATGCGTACGTAGAAAAACAACTCCTTTTGGAAAAGTTAAGTACCTGAATAAACGGAACTACCATTTCTCAGCCTTAAAACTGTTTATTCTGCATATACTGAGAGATCTCTGCCTCTATTTGGTGCTTATCATCAACCTCTTTCTTTTCTTGTAAGCTTAAGTTGTTTCATGTAAAGTTACATCTCCGTCGTGTTGAACAAAAGAAAAAGAAAAACTCTTGTCGAATCATAGATTATCACTCGATCAACCGCCGAATCACAAATGTTAGAAATATAGGCGGATGTTGGCTGATTTCTTGACTTGATAAATTAGTAGGAAAGGTATGTTGTTTTTATTTCTTACATACTTGAATATAGTGTAAATAAGTGTCCTTATACACTCATAACCACTCATACATTGAATTATTCCTTGCTTCCACCATCAATTCTTGACACTGTAGTGACATATGGTGATTCATTACAAGTACATGCAGTGACAATTACCACATATTCGATCCTAAGCCCAGAAGCCATACGTTCTAATAAAAAAATTGGGAGATGATTCAATTAATCGAAAGGCAGACCAACACTTCTACACCATTAAAACAAATAAATACTCTGGTCTCCCACATCGAAAAAGTTCAAGCAGGAGTAACAGGAAAAAGCGGTTACCATGGCGATACTCGATTTGAAAAGTTAACGAAATTCTTCAAACAATACACTTTAGCACGGGATATGTATATATTACTCCCTTGAGTCTATTGGTACGTATTAAACGTGCGTGTATCTCTACTTATATGAATACATATTCTTAAGAGATGACCTTCGGCGTTCGGTCCAATATGCATCAAGTCATGATGTTTGCTAAGGGCTTATCGGTATATCGACTGCTAGACTGTACTGAGATTGAATAATGGATGGATTTCTTTGTAATTGTCGCGCGATAGCTGCTGGTTTAATTATATCTTAACGCTATTTTATATATGGGATTGAGTATGTAGTCGCAGGTAGTTTTCGTTCCTAGATTGCCTCGGGTTTGCTCTTTTTGAACCTTTTTTGTTGGTGAGTCTGGGTGGGTATTTTGTTTGTGGTGTTATTGAAGTTTTTCTAGATACGAATCCTCTGATTGTTTGTACTGATAGTAGTTTGATATAAATATATAGTCTTAGCTTTGGCTTGATTATTTAGACATGAGATTTAGAGGATTACTCTAATTTAAGATCCTTAGACGTTTTGTTAGGGAATTTTCATGTGGAGGAACATGACAAAGTAGCTAAAGCTCTGATATCTCTAGACCTATATCGTGGGCCGGACGCGGAGGTGGCGGCCGTCGATTTCTCTCATATCTATCAAGACACTGGTCAATGATATCGGGCTACTCAAACGAAAATGATGCAGGCCAGAATAGGATATCAAACCGCCCATGGACATTCAGACTAGCTGGCTGGGCGCTGGGCAAGCAAGTACGTACATATAGTTATGCAAAATCACCAGATATGCAAATGTCAGAAGACCGACTGTAGCTGTGGGCGTATAAAAAATATTATTATTCCAATTATTACTATTATTATAATAATCCATATCAAAAACCCAGCTGCATAATATGCACCACCCACTCCCAAAGTGATGTTTCAATTTGAGCTATCCCTCAGCCGCGGGGGGAACGAAACAATTTTCAAAACGCTTGTTATCAGTATGCTGATTCCCTCGACCCACTCATTCACCGATAAGCTCAAAACCCTCTCCGATCGCAGGTGTGCGCGCGCATCTCCCAGCGCACCCGCTACCACCACCTACCCTCACGCAGATCATCACCCCCTTAACCCTACCTGCCTCCCCAATACCAAGAACCGATATCACTATGCCCCCGCCTGCTCTCTGCGCTGCACTGCACCCTGAGCGAGCGAGCGCTTAGAGCACAGTACATACAGTACATAGACAGCCATAGCTAACCACAGTCGATGTATTGAAGATCACGCCGCCCAAAAAAAAGTAAGAACGAAGAGAAGAGAGGGGAATTAAAAAAGCAAGCATGCAGGGTCACCCAACAAAACGTCGGCGGGTATCTTGCACTTTGTGGGTGTATTAAGAAAGTACTCTATGCTAGAGTACATGATACACCTGCAGCCCGATTGAGATATGCGCTCATCCGGAGAAGTACTCTAGAGTATTCGTATTTCTCTGACGTTTGTGGACGCGACTGATATTGCATGCCATACAAAAATACGCCAAGCTCATGATTTTGGGTGTATGCAATAATGGTCCAGTTCAAAAACGTCAGAGAAATACTAGTACTCTACATGCAGAAAGATAATCAACACGCCCGACTGCTACCTAACACTCTACCCCGGAGCAAGTGGCTGGGGAAGCAGCACCCGATGGAGTGGCGGGGTCCCAGAGGGGTGGTAGTGATATTATATATACAGTTGTGGTTGCGCTCATGCGCGTCACGGAAATGGTGGAGTAATAGGAGTTGAGTCTATGATTGTGGGATTTGGAACCTGGGGAGGCCAGGGGCACGAGTGACGGGACATGAAGCACACCAAAAGAACCCAACTACGGCGTGCCAAATATATATATACGGCCTGCTGCAATCTAAGACATTTCAGAATCAGAAATTTCTTTCCTTTGAAGCTTTATACGGGTACCCTAGTGCAAAACATCCCGGTAGGATCCTTCAAAACCGCGTGTTTGATGGATAATGTTATGCTTGGTTAGTGTAGAGGTTATCACTCCGGATTTTGATGTAAAAGAAAATTCCGGCAACCCCGGTTCGAATCCGGGATCGAGCTGTCTTTTAACCTTTTTGTAGCTTTCGGGTGGGCTTTGCCTACTGTTGTTCGTTTTATACTATGGTAGCTGATCCATACTATGTGTCCTAATCAATCAAATTGACATACGAGCACATGTACTTGAGCCGTAGACTGACACAGTATCATTTTCTGCGAGATTGCAAACTACAGGATTTCTCTACTTATATTTAGATCATCCGTACTGCATGTCTCGAAAACTCATGTTGACTCACTTCACATGGGCTGGCTATGCAATACACTTAAGCACGCTTCCTGCCACTTTTCGAAGGCGACGACGCGTCAGCCAGAACTCGCAGGCAAAGTGATGTTTCGGAGGTGTTGTAATTTGTCTCAGGCGCGGTGTATCAAACCCGTATCGGTGTCATGAAGGTTCCTGGACTTTCGAGCCATATGCGTATCATCCCCTCAGCTAGCTCTCGCGGGTGTTTGCAGCCACATTACATTACGGGGGAGGAGACTTTCCACGTGTGTGAATGTTGAGTTAAACTTTAGAAGATATAGTTGCCGTATGGTAAGTTAATGGCAATCTGGCGGTGTTCTCTAGAGTAGGGTTGTAGAGTAGGTGGGTTTGCCCGTCTTCCCGGTACCGTGTAAACTATATCCACCTATGCTTCCCGCAGGTCTGTAGCCGGATGCTTGGGTCTCATACCGATTCCCAATCCTGCAAAACATCTGCGTAATGTTTCCTGCCCAAACCAAACAAGTTTTACGCCCACAGGGACAACGCACCGCCGCCAGTTTTCAGCCATCACATACTATCACTCGTGGCCGACCTCCAGCGGCGGGCGGCGTGTAGCCCGATGTCATTTAAACTATGAAAGCAAAACTACATCATATGCAACCTAGGCACACAGGGCATATTCCATTCCACCTGGAAACCTCCGATCTCCGTCTCGATCTGCCTACCTGCCACCAGCCAAGAACAGAAAACCAATCCATTGGTCCGTGCAGGTCATCCATCGCTCGAACCACAAATCTTCCGATAGATAGCTCCCTCCCTCCCCCGCCAAGGATCAACTTGATTTGCATACGGGCCGAAGTATCCTACCCTATCAACCTCGCGCAGGGTCGGACTCGGCCGTTGCTTTTATTGGGCCAGCAAAATAAACTCCACCACGGAATGAGTGAAATGATGGGCCTACGTATCGGTCGGGAGGCGGGCGGATTCATCGGCAACTTTAAAGATAGCCTTTTATTTTATTTTTGTAGGACAGATCTACCCGTCCGCAGAAGTAAAGTACGCAGTCCCGCATGGGAAAGCTGAGCTGCTTACGAGTCCGAAGCACAAGCGGCAAGGTGGTCCTGGGACACGGTAGGTCGGTCAACAATAGGGACCCTACGTGTTTCTCCATCCTGTGACAGCGCTGGCTGGCAATCCAAGGAAGGGCAGGCGGCACTGCACATACGTTGATGGGGGATGTCAAATTCCAAAGGGTTTTGTACCATGGGAGTGGGATAGAGCCAGGTATTTCCTGGGGCATTCTTTCTTTCTGAAAGTCTGACCGCAGTTGATCTTGGTTATTCTAGAATAAAGTAATATTAGGTTGGGGCACCTTCGCTACCTAGGGCACGTTTTTGCGAAATGAATATGCATAGCCTCATCCCTGACCTCAATTCCTATCGTGAAACACCAATCAAAGTTTTCGTGTGCTTTACCAACCACCGGTGTCCAGAAGTTGATTTTGGGGTCTATTCTCATTGGGATTGCCCGGCAATCTCCTTATTAATGGTAAACTCATTACCCAACCAACAGGGTGGGCATTTTCTAAAGTAGAGAAAATGTTTTGTCCCCAACGCCCAGGAACACGAGCCTCTAATCATGGAGAGTCCAAGTGCTCTCTTTTCTACCTATCCTGTCTGTGCTCATCTGCCAATCCCAACAGGAAACGAAGCCACAGTTGATGTTCATTTCATTCCCGC